AATACTACTTAAGCAATGTTTTCTTAAGTAGAACTATTTTTTTTTTGTACTTTAAATAGACTGAAATATTTGGTGTGGGTGGGGAAGAAAATCAGCGTTGACCAGAAATCACAGAATACTTAAGCAATGTTTTCTTAAGTAGAACTATTTTTTTTTTGTACTTTAAATAGACTGAAATATTTGGTGTGGGTGGGGAGAAAGAAAATCAGTATTTCACAACTTTAAATTGAAAACCAGCTGTAATAAAGCCTCAGCTTATTGTTTAATTTTTAAAAATGGAACATCGTACTTTTGACAATCACAGGATTAAAGCTTACAAAGAATACATCTACCATCTACATCACAGTGCACAGAGAATGCAGTATCTGAGGACTACCATAGGGAAACAAGAACAGACTCTGCATCCATCATAATGCATTACAAAATTAATGCCGTATTAGAAAAAAATCTCACCTCCTGTCGTCAGTGTTCTAGCTGGTAAGCACCTGAGGGGTAGGAGGCTATGAAACTGAGAGCACTGCTCAGTCTGGATCAGGCCACCAGCTCATTCACCTGCCAGTGGCTGATGCACTTAGTAATCTCAATACAACATTTATGGAAAATACTGGTATATATAACACCACATTCTGGCTTCTTTAGCCGGAAGTCTGGGGAATGTAGAGGATAGAGTATCAAAGGCCATATTTTCCCTCAAGAGAGAAGAAATCCACACCAGTTTTCATTTAATTTTCATTGTGAAAAATTTAAATTTCCGATTACATTAACCCCATCAAAATGTGACTTGTACTTAAATATACACACAGGATCTGCAGAACTTAGCTATCTAGTTGCCTCTTCTCTATCTTTATTAAACCACTATTATTAGCTATTGTTAGAAATCTCATGTTCCATCCACAGTAATAAGTGATTGAAGGACACATATCCAAGTATTGGAAACGTTGACAGCCACAGGGCAGCTGAATTTTATCACAACTATTACAGCATTTATGGGACTAAGGGGAAATCACAAGAATACTTAGGGTGATCAGCTCCTGGGGTGCCTGGGACTTCCCTGGGTTTAGCATTGAAAGTGCCACATCCAGGGAACTCCAGTCCCAGGCACACCAGGGCAATTGCTCACCCTAAAAATACCACTCACTCCTCCCTTGGTATCTCTACAGAAAAGATAAAAAGTTTCAAGAGCATAAATCTACCTATGTGGGCATCAGCTCATAAATATTTTTAGAACACTTGCTAATGGCTAATTCCTAGGAAGTCCATAAATGCCTTAAAGTTGTCAATTTTAAGAATAGTTGGTAGTACTTAAACACATTTGTGAACAGTGCATAAAAGTTCATCCTTGCAAACTGTCTTCAGACAAATCCTCTAACAATTGTTTTTGTCCAGTTATACAGTATTTTACTCTATTTTTTAAAAATTTTCAGAGCTAAGTAAATAATCCAGTTTTATACGTCTTTTCACGTCTTTTAGGTGAAAGCACTTGCTGCCAACCATTTCCCACATTCTTGCTTCATATATTGAAAAGACTACCACCAACTGGAGATTATTTCCCTCAGACCCAAAGGCTCTGAATTATGTAACTTTTAACAGTGCTCCCTCCACCAGAGGATCTGGCCTTGGGGGGAACTGGCAAAAAGAATATTCTGAGATATAAAAGTTTTATTTTGCCTACAATGCTGTGCTCTAGCTCAACAAGTACAGAACTGCTTTCATCTTAATCTCTGTAGTTTTTCTTGTTTTGCCCTCTTGTATAAAAATGGTTAGTGTCACAGCTTCACTATCACTAATAAAAAGAAACAAATATTTATGCTTTAAAGGTCAGGGTCAAAACAAAAATGAAGCCTGAGATAAAGATAATCTAAGAAATGACCAATTTGGGTTCTGCATTTTGCCAAGAAACAGGACTTTAATGGAAGTGACAGATATTTTCTTAGGGACTTATTCAGAAAAGGGAAAATCTCTTTGGAAGAAAACAGACTTTAGTAGGACTTCTTTTCCTACAGACAAATTTTTAGAACTAGCTCTATACTGCAGCAATGTAAAGGGTAGAACTTAATATAGAACCAGAAATATGCCAAGTTCTCTAGTGACTAACATTGTAAATAGCCCAAAGCTTTAAAGCCAGAGGGAGAAAGAACAGTAGAGTGTGAAATAGAAAATGTTATTTATATAGTTCTAAAACTTTACTTTTGTTCTTACAAATCAATATATTATGGATTTCATTATTCCATAAATTATCATCTTTTTATTAGAAATAGAAAGCAAATCCCTATCCCCAATTCAGAAAAGCAAACTGGAAAATTTGGAGAAATTAAGAACTTTTTCTTCTTTTTTCCCCTTGGAGGATAGAACATCATTTTTCAGAAATATTTTTGCAAGAAAAATCTAAAAGTCCTTTGTGTATAGTTAATGAATCCTTCTCACTCCCATTATCAGTGGCATTATTCTTACAAGGGGTCCTTCCACCTCAACTACTGGTGAAATTTTGAGTCTATAATGATCTCATGACAGCAAAGCAATTGATATTGAAATTAACTGAGGCTAATATACTATAGTCAGATCCTCTGTGAATCAGAGATGGCCTAAAGTACTTTGGAAAGTCCATTTCTGTTGGGCACAGGTAAGAAAATCAGGTCTGCACCATCTTCGGGCTCTCCTTAAATACAGGAGAACTTAATTTGGTAGTGGTACTTCCCTGGTATCTTAAGCAGCTATCTTATACCAAAGGGAAAAGAATTAAGGGCAGGGGGTGGGGAACCTCCATCTAACATTTTTTAAAAAGTTAACCCTAAGTTAGTACCTTCCAGAGACCACTGAGTGTATAATAATTTAATTAAGGGATATATAGCAGAGCTTTATTTGATGTTAATGAATTCGTTATGATTCTTAATTGTCATTGTACCTAAAAATGGTATACTAACTGAACCGCCAAATTAGGACTCTGGCAGAATAAAAATAATTACTCCGATGGTCTGTCCATGAAAGGAAAATGTCTGCAAGCAAATTAAGAACTTTCTAGTGAAGCAAGAGAAGCATTCAATATTTTAAAAATATATGCAAATAAGTGATCCTTACTGTTAAGGTTTTTCTGAGTGTACATGTATGTATATATAAATCCATACACACACATTATATAGTTTATTTCCTACTAAAAAGATTTAAGGCAGTTATTCTATCTATAAAGTTAGCTGTAATATCCAGGATAAAACAATTAGTACTCAAGAAATTATGTGAACACGTTAGACAAGTTGTCATAAAGGCCATCTAAATCTAGTATAGTTCCCATTTCCTGGCTGAGGCTACAAACACAGGAATTCCACACCCAGAGACCATTTGTCCCACAATCCCCATACATAAAACAAAGTAGTCTGAACAGTCAAAATATTCATGGAAAGCTTGAAAAGATGTGAGAGGAACTCAATAATAGTATTCTGCCTGCCTTTAGAGACCACACACTATAGTCACTACTCTTGATTGTGCTAAATCCAACAATCCATTATGCTCCAAGGTGGGAAACAGGGCTAATATTGTAGGAAAATCATTGCCTGCAACTGCCGGGAAAGTTCATAATCCTAAACATAAGTTAAAATAGAACCTGATGACATGCTATTTGCTAGTCACAAAGACATTAAACTGAAGATAATTTCTCCCATCAAGTGATGGACCAATTTGAACATCATCAACCTTAATAAAGGAATTAGAACCCTGGGTATGAATAGTACCATCCTTTTTGGTCTTTTGTAAGTCAAAGGAGAGAAACATTCTGATGTACGCTGATATAACACAACTGGCAAGGAAGAGGGCAATCAGCAAAACCATTAGGGACATATGTCAAGAGAAGGGGAGAAAGAATAAAAGTCAGCTGATAAATATAAAGGATTTAGCAAAGTAAAAGCTCATAGCAGAATGAAAATGGGCAATAATTTGTTATGTCTAGACATCAATGCCTTAGATCAGAGTAAAATTTAAAAAAAAGATCGTGTGTTTCTATGTCCACAGACTACTCAGTTATCTAAAGAGATAGGGGTGTGGTGTGGGGGTGGTAATGGAGTGGGGCAAACTGTGAAACTGGAATGTTTGGTTATGAAAGCAACTGCACATGAGACAAGTTTTAAAGATTGTCTTGTTTACTTTATATCCCACCATCAACCAGGAGGGTCCGTATTATTGAATGAATGTCCAAAGTAATTATTTTTAAAAAAGACAGAAATATCCTAAAAGCATATTTGGACAGTTTTTGGAAGAGGTAGAGAAACCAACTGGGTATATACTCTTTTGTTTGATTTCAATTAGCAAGATACTAGACTGATTGTATTTCATCTTCAAAGTTTTAGTCTTGATGAAACTGACAATAAAAGTACAAATAAAAGTGAAATTACAATAATATTAACAACAAAGGAGAAAATCTGACAATGTTTAAAAGACTAATAAATCAAGCAAAATTGGATATGGTTTAAGATTAAAAAAAAAAGAAAAACCCAGGCATTCACAACTTGCAAATATAAAGTTAGAATACAAAATAAGTGTAAAATACAGAATAAGATTATTTAGCTTTCAAGAAAAACTAGGCAGATTTTCTTCTTGCAAAGTGACAGGTCCCAAGAGAGAAAGTAACTCCCACAAGACTAAGCTAAGCACAGCTTGACGGTGAGGACCAAATCCCAGTTATCTTTTTATTACTCAATGCCTATCAGTGTCTACGAGGTAAAGAATAGGCATCATTAAATGTTTACTGAATAAATATATACCATAATGTATAACTAGCATAATTAGTTCAAACCTAATCAGGAAAGTTCTTTAAAGTGGGATGAGAAAAGAATACAGAATTATTCCAAAAAGTGGGCTGATATCCAGTTTTCTCTAATTTTAAACAGCATAAACTTTTCAAACTTTTTTTTTAAGCAATATAACTTTTTAACAAATCTTTGTAGAACTCCAATATAGAACTGAAATGAAACTGCCACTGGTTAGACCAGATCAGTGGGAACATCACCAGCCTCCAATTTCCAAGGCCAGCCCTAAGGTGTCTCTATGGACTCGAATCCACTGTGAAAATGACCATTCATCTAAATGTGACAGATAGCATGGTCCTTCCATTCTCACTTTGTTGAGTTGAAGAAATTACCAACACTGTGAAGAAGTTCTAAATAATGTTGCTAATTTAAAGAAAGACAAAATCCAACAAAGAAGAGATTTCACCATGAAGAATGAAAACAGTCCCTATAAAGGGGGGGAAAGAAAGGGTCCATGTTAAGAGGCCACTGTAGACAATACAGAATGCAAAAACAGCAATCCACTAAAAAGCAAATATGGGAAAAAGCTGATGGTTGGGATTACTACTTGGGCACTGCAGATGCTCTTTGGTTAGACTATTCTAAGAAATGTGAATTGTGAACAGCCCAGGAAACTGCTGTATATTTGGGGGCTATCTAAATATGAAAAAGAGAAGCAGATAAACAAATGCTTTTGGGGTTCAATATCTTCAAAAAAACTTTAGGGAGGTAAACATCTGTATCACTAATGTACATGGGATAATTCTGCCTTTCTGTTAACTATAGTTGTCCCCCCTTATCTGCTGATTTGCTTTCTGTGGTTTCAGTTACTCCTGGTCAACCATGGTCTGGAAAATTCCAGAAATAAACAATTTATAAGTAAAAAACAAACATGACCCTGACCATTAAATATATTCACAAAAATGTAGTCACCACCATGAAGCCAACTGCTCAACAGGTAGAACTGCTCAGTACAACAGGTGCCTCCTAAGAGTTGAGTCCCAGCTTCTGGTGGCACAGAACTCCATTGCAACTGGAGCTGAGCTCCATATTGACATGCTGTGATTGGCACTGCTTCACTTAACATACCAATGCAAGAGTGACTGCCAAGACCCTCCACCAGTCTCAAAGTTGTTCTCTGCCCCCAGAACTGCTCCCAAGTTCTCAATAAACACCTGCAAAGGGCAGACACTCCCCTGTTATCTCCAGCAGATCTGCGGTGGTAATAACTGGGAATTTACACAAATCACAAGATGCCCTGTAGAAGTAGTAATTAGTGAGCAGCAAGAAGTCTGGAAGCAAGCAGCCAGACACTACAATGGTGAAAACTTGCCCAAGGCCGATTTAAAGAAGGGGTTGTTAAATGGTACTGACAAATGTCGAACTTTACAGCAAGGGCTTGACAAAGAAGAAATATTACTGAGAATGACAAAGTCTATCACAAAGTAAGGCCACCTTCAACTATTATAAATTGTAGAACCATTCTGATCCTCAAGTTCGGATCTGTGTAGAGGTGTTCATATAAAGCATTCATAACTAATGAGTTTCCTCTAAAATGAGCCTTTGCATATCATGCCATTCTCTTTGTCAGGAATGCCCATTTGCTCCTTTCTCACGCCAAGTGTTACTGCAAGCAACACTTCCCTCTGTTGTACTCTATCACCCTATTTATTTCCTTCACAGACAAAAAAGCTGATAAAGGGTTATAGTGTTCACCTTTACCCAAAAGCTAAGAAAGTTCCTGGCACATGTAACAGGTGAGCAATAAATATTTGAATGAGTAAAAATTTACTACACGTTTACAAGAATACATGCATGTACACACAAATATTGGAAAATGAGGAATACTTAACAGAAAACAACCAAATGCTGAAAGTACTGAAAATGACACCTGTAGAAACAGGTGACTACGGTTTCGAAAAACAAGTACCTAAGATATTTATCCTAAAAATATAAAAATTTACTAGAAGGGGACTAGGAGTGGTTATTTTTCATTTCTATTGAGATGCAAACAAGTAATGTTTAAACAGCAATAACTTCACATTAGACCTGGGAGTTACTTGCTGCAGAACGAACTACCCACAGAGCTTCTGTTCCTCTCACTGCAGAGCATAAAATGTGGTTGATTCTAGTAACAAACATATATTCAGTTTTAGTTAAGAACAGCTCAGGCTGTAGGTGATTATAAGCTTAAAAAGTTGCTAAACTGCTTCTCCCCAAATTTTTAAAATTCCATTAATAATTATGTAAAATAAAAGATTTTAAAAATTGAATACAACATATTTTAAAAACAGATGGCCCTTATCTGCTGACCACACCTCAGCATCACTTTTCTAGGTATTCTGCAGGTACAATTACATTCACAAAAGGTCCATTCATAAAATAATCTGGTAACTAAATCAAGTGAAACTCAAATCAAAGAGCACTAGGTCTGCTGTTGAAACATTTAAAATACCTTTAAAAAAAGTGTCTACATCTATAGATTGGCTTTAAAAAAAGGACAAATGGAATAATTGTAGCATATCCCTGAAAATAATTATACTGCCACCTATGTATTTTTTATGAGGTGTAAGGATAAATTAATAGACTACTAGGTCACACAAGTCAAGTATTATCTGTTGAAATGTGTAAGACAAAGCAACTTACTCCATATGCATTCTTACTGTACCCCAGAAGCGACTGGTGCTGGCACTATCAGTGCAACCATTACTGGCGACGGATAACATGCTATTCTGTTTTTGTATCAGAACAAAAGTAGGAATGGAGAAGAGGTTTGAAAAGATTTTCTGCAAGGCTTTGTTATAGAAATTTAGCAGTAAACAAACCAACCAACAAGAACAAATGTTTAAGACTCACTGAACACATTAAGGTCAAGGATGTCAAAAGTTATCCACTTTTCTTCCCCCAAGAGTTTATTTTTGGTAAAAGGCAGAAAAATTAGTTTTTCTACAAGGGAAATCTGCTTCTAAATGATAATTTGAAAATCTTGATATATATTATATATTAAAAAAGACACACACAAATAACGGAGAAGTGGGAATAACAGATTAGGTACTGTAACTTTATAAAAGCTTGCCTAAATCAAGAAGCAGCACACACACACCTAATTTATGCAAACTAAAAATGTATATAAACAGCACAATACTGTGATACTGGATCATGATACATTACCTGTACACATAACTACTACTGTTATTAATAAGCCTTTGGGACACTCAATTTTATGCCCAACAAGACATTAGTAAGTCTTTAAAATCTTCTCTTCCTCCTTTATGGGAGGGTATTTCTAGACACTAATTTTCCCATCTAATATTCGAATATAGGAAACGGATTCCACAAGGTGCTTTAATTGATGAGACCTCAAGTGCTGTTTTCTCGGTTGAATTTTTGGATACAAACAGTCCATGGGGACCACACACAAATACTATGACAGAAAAGTTGATACAGTAAGTCTTTTGATGGGACTGGATTGGTGATGGAACTTTATGACATGCTTGAGCAACGCACTGAAGGGGATCCCATCTGAGTTAATACTTTGTCCAACCACTGCAGAGGTCCATTCAGATGAAGTTCAATCCAGCAAGGAGTGCTTGTTACCGTCTGCCTTCTGTTTAAGAGAATACAAGCAAATAATTATGAAGTTAAGAGAACTTGACTATGTTTAGTTATATGCAATAAGAATTTAGATAAAGTAAAAAGTTGAATATACTGAAACCTAAATTCTTTTGAACAAGTTTGGATATCTAATTATTTTGAAAACTGCTTAATCCTCAAAGTCTAACAAAGTATTCCCAATGACATTTTTCTTTTAAAAAGATTTATAAAAAACCTTCTTTTCCCCTGAAATTAAAATTAGTAGGGTAACCTTATTATTTACCATCCAAAATGGGACACCTTTATGAGAGAATGTAGTCACTATTAATAATCATGCCAGGGCAAGAGATGTAAACCAGGACTGCCCCATGCTAACAGGAATATATAGTTACTCTACTTATTTAACAACTACAGAATAGAAGATATCCAAATACCAAATGAAGTCTAAATAACATAGGGTTAAAGTATACCAAAACAAAATTCTGACCCAAACTCATCACAAAATGTTAAGAGTTATAGTAGTTCAACTTTCCTAGACAAAGCCAATAATATCCCTTTTAGCAACATCATGCAGACTTTTAAAAGAAACACCCTTACTACTTCAACAAAAAGGGCTACTGTCTGGGAATCATAAATTGTTCAATGACATCCTGTCATTTCCATGTACTGATTTGAGCTGTTTTATTTAATATACAAGTCAGTAAATCTGCTTGCTTGTGACAGCCCTACAAACATGAGAAAAGGCTATTATCAACATTTCACCTCCAAGTAACACATGCTCAATATATTAAAACTGTATTTCAAGGGATGTGGTCTTTTGTAGCAGAGGGTCTAGTGCCCCATTATGCCCTTCAGATTTTTCAGTGTTCTCTAGACTAGCGGTTGCCAACCTTTCGGACCTCACGGACCACCACTGGTCTGCGGACCACGGTTGGCGACCGCTGCTCTAAACATCTTCCAACTGCAGGTGTCTGCACTTATCTGCCTGAGAACTTCTTAGCTCTGTCCACGTGTGTAGCAGACTAGAAGTGCCAGGAAATTAATACCCCCAGGAGCAGCCTTCAAGCAATGACAAAGGAATTGGCATTAAAATGTTGTTTCCTTTCCCTCTGTGTGGGATAATTCTGAATGTTCTTTACCATTTTCCAAAGTTTCCCTCAGGGAATAAACTAGTGACCCACCCGCTATAGTAGATGGATTAATAATGATACTGGCTGCCTTCCCTCCCCTACCTCACTTCCTACTTCCTCCTTCCTTACCAGTGTTTCCTCCATTTCCTAAACTCTTTGCACTTGAATCCTTGTCTCAGAGTCTGAGATATACACTAAGACATTCCTAAAATATGACACACAAAACACAATAGTCCAAATCTGATCTGTATAGACTCATTGCCTTGTTCTTTTTAAATTATTATTATTATTTTATTGATTTCAGAGAGGAAGGGAGAGAGAGAGATGATAGAAACATCATTGATCGGCTGTCTCCTGAATGCCCCCTACTGGGGATCCAGCCCAAAACCCAGGCATGTGCCGTTGACTGGAATCGAACCTGGGACCCTTCAGTCCACAGACCTACATTCTATCCACTGAGCCAAACCCTCACTGCCTTGTTTTGATTTAGAAACTATGTCTACTAGTATCTATGCAGCTTAAAATTGCACAAGCACACTTTACAAATTGCCTCATTATCCATGAGATATAGGCAAGACTGACCCTTTCTCATCTTCCCCTTCACTCTTTTTGTTTTGTTCTTCACAGTTTCTCCTGCCTTTCATCTCTCCCCTGGATCAGACCTTTGGCAGCTATATTGCCAAAATCTCTTTTAATTTTGATTTTGCTATGTGCTGAAGTCTGGATTTTTGCTGAAGTCTGATGTTTTTCCCCAGTTTGTTTTCAGTCCAATCATTTCATTACTACATTAGTTTAACCTTCAGGAAAAATTCTTCATCTAGGTCACTGAAGGGTAGAAATAAGTTTAAGAAGACTGTCACTATACCTATTTGGGCAAAAAAGTTGCACTTGAGGCATTATTCATCCCCCTACCTGTTTAGTTACTCCAGTACTGGTTCACTTATTTCTCAACAAAATATAAATTCCTTACACATCTATATTTCCTTTTTAATGTATTCCTGACTTTATACTGGGAATTGAGTTGGCATTAAAGAAATGAAAAAACCGTTTTAGAAGTCCAACCGTTAGAACTACCTCCTCATATTCAAAGTCATTAAAGATAAAAGGTTCCTGGTAACTACCCACAGTTCACAGATACATGGGTATTTTGATTTGTAAATGTTCAAGAAAGCTTCGTAATTATCCAAGTAGATATACCTGACTCTACACCCATAAAACCATACTGTGTATTATTGCTTCTCATAATTACAGATTTTAAATGATCTCTGGGTTACAGAATGGCAGAGTCCACAGTAAATGCAGGGCAGTATCTCTCTCTCCCAATTAAAACTGCTTTTAGTGGGAGACCTATAATCTATTTCTCTAATCTATTCAGTTCATATTTAATTCAACTCATTTTCTACCATGTTCTGCAATATTCTAATATTTGAAGGGGGAAAAAAAGGTCTGACCTGAAAACATTATATCAGATAGCACTATTTGAATCTAATTTTAATATCAACTCAGATCAATTCAAGTCCAAAGGAAAAAAAGGAAATCAGCAGTCCTTAGAGGTATCACATCTCAAAAGGGAAATAGTTAAAGCAAAGAAAACTACAGCAAAGTCACAAAATGAATTATTCTACTAATATACCTAGGACAAAATAGTGAGAAGTCTTCATTCTAGGATATAAATATACAGCACAGAATATATTTTTATGGAAGTATATAACCAAAAGACCTCAAATCTAACCACCTCACACAACTTACTTAAGATCAGAAATCAAGTCCAAATGAAATGAAATAAATTCTGAAGAAGGGCCCAAACTGTGGAATTCTATTGCTATACTATATGAACATCTTAAGTAGACATTCAAAGAGTAAGCAATATGACCTGGAGAAGGATCAAGTATTTTACTTACAATTCCATTCTTTAATATGCTGATGAAGTCTTCCTTTTCTTTGATGTGGAATCCAATCTATTGTAATCTATCTTACCTCTTGATGACAAATGTGCTTTTGTAAAACTCAATTACGTAACTGGTACCACTATCTTTAGAGAAGAGGGTAAGAGTCAAGGAGAGCTTCCCTCAAGTCCTGTCTCCACCCGTTACAATGTGTCCTTGGGCAAATGATCAAATCTCTCCTAAGTCTATTTCCAAATAGTATTAGTCTGAACCATTTTTTTATTTACAAAGACTGCAACCTCATAAAGAAAAGATAGGAACAGAAATTCTTAGCAATGTTGAAAGACATGATACTACATTTAAAACAAGCACAGTGCCTGACACCTAACAAGTACCCCCTTCTATTACTGAATCAAGTTCCAACTCTTAACTTTATATTCAGGTGGTCTCAACTTATTTGTTCAGACTTTTTCTTCTTCTTCTGTATTTTCTATATTCTCCAGGCAAATTGAACTGCTATTTTATTGCCAGAAGCACCATCTGCCACGCCCTCATAGCTATGATTACTAAAATACTATACATCTTAGAATGTACATGATCTCGACCATCTCTACCAGAAGCCTTCACTGAGCCCCAGTGAAAACATACCTCCTTCTATGAACTGACATAATCCTTCCTTTACACCCCTTTTTATGGTATTTAACAATCTGTATTATGTTACAGTGAATGTCTATACATGTTTCAATTTTATCTTCTATAATGCCAGCAACTGAAATTCACTATATTTTGAATCTAGAGGCCTCCGACTTTCTTTTATTTCACATAAAGATCTACTGACTCCATAACCTCAATGAAAACAGATACATGTGAACTCCGGACTGTGCAAGAATGGGGGTAAAAAAAGAATTATGTGGAAATTTAAGAACTGAATATGTATTTCATACCGGTATTCTGCTCCCCACCCTTTCACAAAACTCATTCTTATGGTGCACATTCTAGTTAGCTGATACACGGCTTCAAAACCTTGATTCACAGACTGAGCCAGAAGAGCAGCAAATTCCTGGTTGTTGAAGATCTTCAGATTACAGCCTATGATGGAAAAAGTAAAAAAAAAAAAAAATTGCATAAAAAGAGCACTGTTGTAAGAAAATAGCTTTAAAAGGGCTACACATATTAGAACACAAGCATGCAAATCATCTCCTGATTCCTAAAATTAACAGCAACCAGAAAAGATAGGTTCATTTACATTGTTGTATCCATACCTGGTGGAATTTTACACACTGTTGCAGGGTGCCAGCCGTATCTCTGATTACAATTGGGGCTCTGCACAAAGATTGCACTATCACTTAGGCACTCAGCAAAAACTTCCCCACCTATGTAATATAAGCGCACTCCTCTTCCTAAAACAAAATACATACGGGATTAGTTTTATAACATTTACTATTTCAGCATGACTTGGGAAGAGTCTTCTGGAGGAATACTAAAATAATATAAGGTACTTAGATGACATTTGCTATAAGCTATGCTTTTCTGAAGTCTAATTTGAAACATGCTACAGTATACTTTTCCAAATATTTCTCAACAATGATTTTATAGATTTGCAAAAATAATACATACTTATCAAAACTATTTAAACAATGTAGAAAAGTACATGGATAGTAGTATAAAAAACTTCATACCAATTATATATTTCAAAATTAAGTAAAAGAAATTGAGTTAATTTGGAGGGAATTAACTAATGTTTGGAGAAATAGACCTTCATTATAATACATAGTATTTCTTTAAATAGCCCACTAAAGTTAAGAAAAAAAGGTAATAAAAATGATCAAGCCCTGGCTGGTGTGGCTCAGTTGGTGGAGCATCGTCCTGTACACACCAAATCACTGGTTCAGTCCCTGGTCGGGGTACATATGGGAGGCAACCAATCAATGTTTCTCTCTCACATCAATGTTTCTCTCTTCCTCTCTCTAAAATCAATTAAAAATTTTTTTAAAAAAATCATCAAGAGTTTATTTCTGGTGGGCCTGACTTAATCAGGTGATACCCTTGAAAGAGATTAGGCTGTCCCTAGTGAAAGTGATTCAAAGGTGAGAGACGGTCAACGCAAGGGACTTTCCAGTGGGGACTATGAATGCAGGTCCACCTGGCAAGGAATGTAGGTGGACTCTAGATGCTGACAGCAGCCTCTAGCTGACAGTCTGCAGGAAATGAGGACCTCAGTACTGTAAGTTCAAGGAAGTGAACTCTGCAACTCATGTGGTTGGACAAGGACCTCAAGCTCCAGATGAGAAGGCAGTTCAGATGACACCTTGATTCCCCTAGTGAGACCCTGAGAAGACTCCTAAGCCATGCCTGGAGTTCTGACCCACAGAAACTGTGAGATAATAAATTTGTGTTATTTTAGGCTGGTCAGTGTATGGTAGTATGTTACACAATTTAAAAAACACACAAAATTCCCCCACAAAGCTAATAAAAGAACCAACAAGCCAGATTTAATATAGAGATACAAAATCTGATGCCCTGTTCTCTTATGACTACAGAATATGTGTTTAAAAATAATCATTTACTTGACCATCAGGAAAACATGAAGTCTAAAAAGTAAAGATATTTTCAGGCTAGATTCTCTGATCAAAAACACCTACTAAACTAGAAGTAAAAAAAAAAAAAGATAATCCAATAATTATATCAATCTAAAATTTTGCAGAAATGAAATAAGGTACAGAAAACCTTTTGTTAAATTTTTATGCAGAATCCCAATTAAAACACAGGAAAAAAAGAATATTTTAAAGTAGGGTGGATATGCAGAGGCCTTCCTCACCTACAAGACACCTTGGTACCCTAACAAGATAAGCAAAATTTTAAAAATCAAGCAAGATTTGAGGAATTCCACATGAAGCCAAATAAGAGACCTCTTAAATCCCTAATACTCTACAGCAGTGGTTCTCAACCTTCTGGCCCTTTAAATACAGTCCCTCATGTTATGACCCAACCATATTTTCGTTGCTACTTCATAACTGTAATGTTGCTACTGTTATGAACCGTAATGTAAATATCTGATATACAGGATGGTCTTAGGCGACCCCTGTGAAAGGGTTGTTCGACCACCAAAGGGGTCGCGACCCACAGGTTGAGAACCGCTGCTCTACAGTATCACACTCACTCTTTAGTGATCAGCATCATTTATCATAGGAGGTGACTGTTCGTTAAATGGAAACAGAAGAAAACAATTGTTAAAAGAAGTTACTTTAAGGTAATAAGAACTATGTTCAGTTATATCAGTGGTGTTTAAACATTTTTTTTTTACATAAGTAAAAAGGAAATATTGAAGACCCCCAAAGAGTTTTACATCTATGGAAACTTACCATACTAGACATTAAAACTAGGATTTAAAAAATGTATTCACTTAAAATAAAAAAAAAAAACACCCCTCAACATGTTAACATAAATAGCAGGTTTATAAATAAATAAAAAACCTTTCCAAAGTAAAAAAAAAAAATTAGTTCTCAGAGTAGCAATGTATTTTTGCAAATCTCTTTAATGTCTAATTTAACAGAAGAGCATTGGATTCTCTTTAATGTACATTTAATTTCTTGCAAGCTCATATGCCATCTAGCCTCTGAATACTTCACTGTGTGAGAGATGGCAGTGGAAAAGGCAAATAGCATCCTAGTACCATTAATGAAAATAGTTTTGACCTCACGAACTTGCTGAAAGGTTGTTCGGACTACCACATTTTGAGATACTTTGTGGATTATTTTTTGAACTTCATGAAATAATAGTTCTTGTTTTACATATCTTGCTTCAGATTAAAAGTGATATTTAACACATGAACTCACTGAAGGGAGAAACTAGGAGATGTAAATGAACTGAAAAAAATTCATCATTTGTTAAAAAAATATGATCATGACAATTTTATGATTGGTAGAGACTCAGCAAAGTAAAGTTATTTTAACACCTATTTATTGAAGGATCTCCCAGTATCAAAGACGCCAAATAAAGAGAAGTCATAGAGTTTGTAGATGGAAGGATCACCAGGATTTATTAAAAGCAGTGAAGCTGTGCACTTAAACTGACAGAGACAAGGCAGGCTTTTCTGCACACAATCGTTTGATGTGGTAAACCACATAATGCTCACATTATGAGTATATGGCATTGGTTTTTCACACAGGGAAAAAAAACAAACATACCTATATGTCTTCTTGTCATTTCTACTGTAGCATTTCGGTTGACGTTGGAAAGTAAACCTAAGCAGAATCTCTCTGAATTTGATGGATCTGTGAAGCCGTCTACGGTAAGTGAGGGTTGTGATGCATGGAAGGTCTCTCCAACCCTCTGGTTTAATTCATAATAGGCTATTGAACACCAAAATGCAGGTTCTGAGTATGTAACTGGCTGCAAGTCTAGGACAGAGGAAACCAAACCCATAAGAGTAAGAAATGTTGTGTGAACGATTCAAGCCAAGAACAAACTGAGTATTATCATCTTTACATGCTCTATGCCAGCCTATCCTGGCAAAAGCTCAGGAAGTAGATCTAACTTCTACGTCATGAACTCCAGTTTCCGTAGATCATACCAGATTTTCAATTTTTCAATTTCCCCAATCTCATTAAGTCATCCAGTCTTCAAACTTAATAAAGCTAATTTTTGGTAGAATTAAGTGGAATAAAGCTGGAGCAAGAATTAATATAGTCTATGGCCACAAGAAGGAAAAATGTCACAATAATAGGATACAAAATGACATACTTTTGACATTTGTCTATTTTAATATCAGATCTTCAGGGGTTACCCTAATTACAAAAATATAAAGCATCCCCTTACACACACACACACACACACACAAAAGTAAATAAATACAAAGAATGTGCAAGTAGAAACAGAACATGGATTCAAAAGAATCTATATATTGCATGGGAAAACTAGGCTCACATGCATTTAAGTTCTATAATTTTGATTATAAACCATCACAAGGAATATCATTTAAAAAATGACCATTTTTATAGAATAAATTCCAAATGTGTCAAATGAAGAGAAATTGTGAAATAGCAAGATAAAATAGTAAAAAAATAAACTATACACACACACGTATACTTATACACACACACGTACACACACGTGCACACACGTGCACACACTAGCTCTCACACAGCCCCCAAACCACATATTTGTGGTACATGTACACATATTTACCTCTTATATTAATAATTGCTATTATAATACATATCATAAAATAACATACCCACAAATATCTAGTCGTAATGTCATAAAATTTACTGTGACTAAAGAATATGGTTTCCATGAATAAACAGATTATAATTTCTTATGTGTGCCAGTAGAAAAGCGGTTTAGTAATATTGAGGCACATTACCAGTATCATTTTTAAAAAGCACTAACTTGAATAATTACTTGGTTATTTATGGGCTCCCGTTCTCATATATAAAATAATGACCAAAGAGGACATTTAAATAATACAGTATAAAACAGTGGAGGGAAAATATTTGCAACTTACCCAAACTATGATTAACAGGGGAAAGAGTAGTAGGAGATAGTTCTGCTGGGGATCCTGAAATAAAAGAAGTTAATTTAAAAACAGATATGAAAGTATTTCCAGAACTTCTGACCAAATAATAAAATAGATTATAATTAAGCATCACAAATAATAAATAATTTACATCCCAAGCATTATAAATATAGAGCTGCTTGGTTCTGGTAGGGTAGCTCAGCTGGTTAAAGTATTGTCCTGATAGGCTAAGGTTATGGGTTCGATCCCTGGTCAGTGTATATACAGGAATCAACCAATTAATTCATAAATAAGTGGAACAACAAATCAATGTTTCTTTCTCTCTCTAAAAATCAATAAATATAAATTAAAAAAGATATACAGCTGCTTCATGTTAGTGTAATTTTGGAGACTTCAATATATAAAAGGTAAAAAAGGCGTAAAACAGTCCTAGCTTCTAGTCACAGAGTTCCCCTTCCCAAAGGCATCCAGTGTATTTTTCCAAAAATAATCTATGTATCAAATAAGTAAATATATTCTCTTCTGTGCCCCCTGTTCTTTATATACAAATGTAATATAGTTAACTTTGCTTTTAAAAAATTAAAAGATTGCAATGACTAATTTGCACATTTTGCATACTTTCAATTACACCTGAAGGACAGACTCTTAAAAGAGGAACTGGCCGAAACCGGTTTGGCTCAGTGGATAGAGCGTCGGCCTGCGGACTGAAAGGTCCCACGTTCGATTCCGGTCAAGGGCATGTACCTTGGTTGCAGGCACATCCCCAGTAGGAGATGTGCAGGAGGCAGCTGATCGATGTTTCTCTCTCATCGATGTTTCTAACTCTCTATCTCTCTCCCTTCCTCTCTGTAAAAAATCAATAAAATATATTAAAAAAAAAAAGAGGAACTGCCAGGTCAAAGGGCTGTGGTTCTATCATTTTGATAGATTTTGCCAAAATTGTCACCAATAGAGCTTGTACTGGTTCACATTCCCGGTAACAACAAATGGTGAGGGGACGTTCATGTTATTGTTAATAGATAAGAACATGGTCTTAAAAAGTATAGTTTTAATCTGTGTTTCTCTTATAAATGACATTGAGTAGCTTTATACTTATTTATATTGTATTTCCTTTTTGTGAATGGTCTGTTCTTTTCCTTTGTTCTTTTCTCTATTGTGGTTCTAATCACTTTTCTTACTGACCTATAGAAGGCTCTTTATGTATTAGGCATCTTAGTTAGCCCTTCCATGCTATGAGTTGCAAATATTTGATTGTTTTATGACTCTTCATCCTAATTCTGATTAAGCAGTATTAAAAAAAAACTTATGTGATATAACTTATCAAGCATTTTGAGATGTATCACTTTGGTAAAACAGTGGTAACAATGGATATTCTTGTTTTACTCTTAACTTTAAGAGAATACTTCTAGTATTTTCCCATTAAGTATAATGCTGGCTTTGATAATGAGAGAGATAACATTGCTTATTTAGGATTTTTAGATCAATACTTCCAAGCAATACTGGTCTGCAGATTTACATTGCAAGTGCAATATTATGCTACTTCATAATTATAATCTAGAAGCTGTATGCCTTTCTTATGTTCTGTAACAGTTTAAAGAGCATTTTAATAACACATTCCTTAGTAGTTTGATAGAGATTCTGTGTCAAATTGTTTGCAGTTAAACATTTTCTAGGGTTTATTCTAAGACATTTCTCTATTTCTTCTATGACAGTTGATAGCTCTATTTTTTGGAGTCAGTTTGGTAGGTTATATTTTCTTAGAAAATTACTCATGTCTTCCAGTTCTAGGTAAGCAAGCTTACTCTAATCAAGAACATATGGGGAGAGGGCACAGATATACAAAATAAGAAAAAGAAGGTAGAACTGCAGACACAGAAGAAAAAAAGCAAAAAACCAAAAAAAAACACAACAAAACAAAACCACTCAATACCACACAACTAATTTAAATACATTTGTTGTAAATTTGTTCAATAGTTATATATAACTAGAGGCCCGGTGCATGAATTTGTGCACTATTGGGGTCCCTCGGCCTGGCCTGCAGGATTGGGCCGAAACTGGCTCTCCAACATCCCCCGAAGGGTCCTG